ATGCAGGGCATGTCTTACACCTCAGAACACATTTCACCTGCTTTATTTCCTTCGGAATACAACGTGCTTGAAAGCCTTGCTTTGTCATCACGTCTAACAAGGCCCTAAGGGACCAACCGTCAGCCCAGCACCAAGCAAGTTCTCCTTGTCAAAATCCTTACCTTTCTTCTCCCTTTCCCTCCCTCTTTCCCTTCATCATCCATGCCTGCATTGAGTTTATTTGGGTGGGATTCCAGCATCCGACTTGTGCTTTCGCAGCTGCCCGAGGCGTTCGGAGCCTCATTAGTGTAACGCACTGCTCACCAGGGCTAATGCCGTAATGACTCTAGAAATTTCTCTCGAGTTCATTGCAGGAGAGTTTATCTTTCAGTGGTGACCTTTCTTGTTGAACGCAGATGAATGTGTGCAGGGTCTGTGTTAACATGGCAGTGTGCAGGAGAAGGCACTCGATAAGCGAGCACCATCCCTGCTCCCAGCAGAGCGTTTGCAGCACCGAGCATCCTGCCCCTGCCCGAGCCTGGGCTGCGGGGTGCGTTTTGGGCTCCAGCCCTTGGCTCCTTGACATAAATCACTTGTCTGAGCGGTGCGTTGAGAAGCATCGTACACGCGCGTTAACCGTGGATAAAGGCAGCTCTGCTAAAGGCCACCAAGATGAGTCAGTAATAAACCAGCTTTGCTTGTTGAAGCACTGTCTTGAGGCTATGGATGCGTGTTGAAATCCTCAGCAAATTCATGTTTATTTTAGCAGGAAGACCTTCAGCAGATTCTCTTTCAAGGAGATGCAGCTTGGGCAGAGGAGAGGGGGCAGTGAGCATGCATGGTTGCACCGAACACATCCCTGAGGTGGGATGGGCACAAGCTGCAGCAGGGAAGCACAGCAAACCCTGGCCTTTGCCAGCAAAACCTGACTGCTGTAAATACTGAACGCTGGCAGTTGTATGTGGCAAGGCACCAATGTCCTTTTATCCGTTTCCAGCCTTGGCAGCGATGACATTCCTCTGTCTCTTCCCATCGCCTCTGGAATATGGAGGCAGCACCGATGTTTGTTGTGGCTCTCCCCGCCACCCATTCAGACAAGGTCCAGCTCTCGCTGTGCCAGCCAACACTTTGCATTTTAAACAAGGCTGTTCAGGGGCTCTTTCATGAACCCACGTTTGCTTCAGTGTCTCGTGCCCCTTCTTGCTTTTCCCTCCTTGCTTTTCGGTGCTCCCCAAGCCACGGCAGCGCAGGGCTGAGGCTCCCCAGAGCCTGTCCCTCTGGCCTGCAGGCGAGCGTTCACTCTGATCAAAATTCAGAGCCTCAGAGGAAGTTAAGGTAGGAAAAACCACAGCAAATTCAAAGTGAAGCGGGTGCCATTAAATTTCCTTGTTCCCATCACTGCCACATCTCTTGGCTGCTGTCTCTTGATCTCCACCGGCATAGGAAGGAGCTTCTGTAACCCAGAGGATGGGGGATCGTTGGGGCTGAGGAAGATAAAAGTTGGTTAGCGGTGACTTACAGACACATTTAATCTTCTGCACATCTTTGCTGACTTTGATCTATTCCAGGGCTTCCTGGTGATACTTGGGATTGCACATTATGTGTAGAGGAAACCCTTGAGTTGGAGGCACTTATCTGCAGTCTGGGAGCTGTGAAAGCTTCCAGTGCAGGGTGGTTTCCTGGGCAATTGGTTGTTAAATTGGACCTGACCCATTCAGAGCACGTTGGAATTGGGTACTTTGACTGCCAGGCCTTTCTGAGTGCTGGCAATGCTTGTAAGGGGAGGAGATGGCCCTGCCAGCCCCCAAGCAATGGTGAATCAATCCGATGGATCCTCCCAAACCGAAGTCAGGAGATCAGACCAGGCAACAGGTCGGGCTTTGCTCCTCGTCTCTATTGACTGACATCAGGACATGGTCGGTGATTCCCTCCCCTTTACTGGGGCAGCAGTCCCCTGATGGTTTCTCAGCAGTGTGCTTCCAAACTCCTGCCCTTAATTATTTCCCATTCTCACCGCAGGATGTCGGTGGCCAGGGGAGAGTCTCGGATTCCTTCCAGCCTGAAAGGCATTAATCTTAATGATTCCGGCATCTCGGAGCAGCCACAGCTCTTGGACAGCTTCTGCCTCCTCCAACAGCTGAGCTGCCATTGGGAGCTTTGTCACACATATACATGTCCCCAGGGAGTCTCACGTTTTCTTTGAGGACTGAAACAGTGTCTGCAGGATTCAGGTTTTGGTTTTTTCTCCTTCGTTTTAGTCCCAGATTGTTGCAGGTGTGTGTAAACCAGATTTGTTCCCAGGTATTTCTTACCAGAGCACGTCACGGTTTGCATGTTGGGAGGGTTGTTCAGGGTCCCTTTGCTGTTGTTTCAGAGCGATGGTTAAAGTGCCTCTGGCTCCAGGTGAGCTTGTGTGCAGCTACTGGAAGAAGACAACTCTTTAGCAGCTCGCCATGGCTGAGTGAATCGTTTCTGAGGGGTGCTCACCCTCCTAGCAATTACAAGAGCTTTTCTCTTTCCTTTATTGGGGCCGGAGCAAGGTGTCAGCTCTGTAAAAGCTTCCAGCCCTTCCTGTGCAGCGTTCCAGGCGTTGTTCTGCAGGGAGCACGGAGCAGTGCCGGGGCATCCCAAGGCTCCGCAGCGGTTCCCGGGTGATGGAGCAGCGGGTGTGCTTTTGGCACGCCCGGCTCTCTGCAGGCACTCCTGTGAGCAGTGTGGGGTCCTCAGCGGGTGTGCAGCAGGTAGGAAATTACCTTTTCCTTACATTCCATACCCAGTCAGAAGGGCTTTTGAATAACCAGTTGCCAGCTTTCTGTGTGGATGAAAGCTGGGATTTCCACTCTTCTTAGAGATGTGAATGGCAGTGGCCGGGGTGGGATATTTGGTGGGGACTGAGCATCTCTCCCTGGCTTATCAGCCTCTGTTTGCTGTTCTCTTTGTGAGGTTTAAGGACATGACAAAGCGTGTCCCCTTGTCACCTATGCACAGTCTATAGTTGCAGGTTAATGACACAGAACTGCCCCTCTGGATGCCACGGTGTCTGTGTGTCTGTCCCGTTAGCCACAGCATCACCACACTCATCAGCACATGGTGTGGACATGGCAGCGGGTGGCTTTGGGCACCATGTGAGCCAAGGCTGGTCCCTGCTCCTAGTCCCAAGGTGGTGATGGTGCCATGGGCTCTCCTGGTGCTGCTGTGGGGCTTCACAGGAGTACCTTACTGACAGGATCCCCCCTTACCTTACCCCGTCCCTCTGCTGGCACCGGCCAGCTGGGTTTTCTGTGTGCCTTGGCAGTAAAACTCACATCCATTTTATTGAACCAGGAGGAAGAAAGAGGGGAAGAAGTGCTAGCTTATAGCAATAAAGGGCTTTTGAACATCTCAGCTGGATATTTTTCTTCATGAGTGAGCAGGCCAAATGTTATCTTGACATTTAATCTTTAATAATCAAAAAAGGCGCTTTGTTTGCCAGTGAATTCCAAAATCTGTTTATTCTCCCATGCCTTATTTCTTTTAACTTGCTAGCTTAGATGTCCTACTTACTTTCTCCTGCTGCCAGTTCAGCGCTGCGTTAAATCAGTCATTTTGTGAGATTTAGTTTCCTGTCACTGCAGAGCTGCCAGCTTGGCTCTTTTTGACCAGTTAATTCATTCGGTTGAGAAATGGGGACCTCTTGGGTGAGTGGTGCAGAGGGAAAGGGTCAGGGCAGGAGAGGTGGTGGCCCGCTGGACTTGTCCCACCGCGGGCGTGTGTACACCAGCGTGCTCAGGCTGAGTAAGCAGGAAGGCCAGTGTTAGCTGTTTGCAGTGTGTGTCTCGGTGCTGCCGGTACCTGCATGCAGCAGGGATGTGGTGGGATGCAGTGGACACGGGCAGGGAAGTCTCCATGTGCTTCCAGAGGATCGTGCAAGTACCACTCAGGTGTAGCTCCAGCTTCCCGCAAGCCATTTCCATCCAGCTCCTCCCAGTCCGCTAACTTTTCGTTTGCATTGAAACTCCTTCCTCATAAACCCTACATCCAAAAGCAGCTGTGAGAAATGCCAGAAGCCTGATCATCTAACATGCTTTAATACCGAACCTTCTTCTTTAGTGTCATCCTTATTTACATTGTTTTTCTGTCTCAAAACTAAAAAGAAAAAAGGGAGGAAAAAAAATCAGATTTTCTTTTACTTCCACGTTAGGAGGTGAGTTCTCATCCCCCTTCTGCAGTTCTTTTTTGCTTTTGATCTTTATTTCTTTGTTTGATTTTGGTTGATGTCCCAAGCATGGTTTTGGAGACGAAGGTAGGTCTTCGCTCTCCAAATCGAAAGGAAAAAGATTAAATAAAGCAACACTCTCCTTGCTTCACATTTAAAACCAACAAAAATCAATCCAAACCGTTCCATTCCGTACCATTTAAAACAAACAGAAATGAACTATTGAGCTATTTCAACAGCTTTCTGATTGAAAAGGGCGGGTTTTTTTTCCAAAGTATCGAATGGATCCAAAAACGATTTTCCTAGACGTGATTGAAGTTATTTGCTGTCAACATTTTAATATCAATATTACCACAATGTGTAGTCTCAAACTAGTTCCTTTGTAGTTTGCATGGGATGTGAATGCTGTCTCGGCGTGCCCAGACCTAGAGAACTTGTTACTACTGCATGAGCATCAAGTCAGATGTTGAAAAATACCTATTATATTTTGTGATAATTTGGTGAAAATGAGCACCTCCAGTCTCTGGTTGCAGTAGTGTGTTGAATGATTGTTCTTTTTTTTTCATATATATCCATATATATATATATTTTTGGAGCTCTAAGCTTCGTAGTAGTACGGGCTGACTCTTATCCAGTACTTGCTCTCCTATCGCATGGCCTTGGTTAAGTGTTAGAAGTTGGGCCTAGGCTGTTTATTCTGGTGTTTGGCTTTGTAATAACGGTGCATGCCCGGCGTCTGGCCTCATACCCAGCTTTATTCTCTGCACACCAGTCTTGAATAGCTACAGTGCTCAACCGAATTTTGGCGCACCCGCTTCCCCGGCAGGCTCCAACCCAGCCCGACCCGGAGGCTTCCCCGGGGCCAACAGCCCAGGGCCCGTCGCGGATCTCTACGGCACGGCCAGCCAGGACTCCGGCGTGGGTAACTACATAAGCGCCGCCAGCCCGCAGCCGGGCTCCGGCTTCGGCCACGGCATCGCCGTAAGTACCATGCGCGCCGGCGACGCTGGTTCGTGGTCAAGGGTGGGGGGGTCTTTGTGTAATGATGGGGGTAAGGGGTGTGTTGGGTTGTTAGTTAATCGTGACCTGACGGCGAGCGTGGTAGCGCCTTGCTGCTGTAACCTGCTAGAGCTGTGCCCAACTGGAGATGCCAACTGGCTGCGCTATTCCAGGTACCATCCGGGCTGGAAGCGCCGGTCTGGTGCCTTCGGATTCAACATGTTTCAAAAGGAAGTAGTTAATAGTTCTGGGCTTTAAAGTTCCTGCTTACCTCTAGGGGCTTTATATCAGCCCAACCGCCCGTCCCAGCTGATGTGCTCATTTGTAGACAGCGCACTGGTCCCTGCTCCCACTTAAACAAGCAAAAAGGGGCTCATTCATTTGGCTGGGAAAAGGGGTTCATTCATTTGGCTGGAAAAAGGAGCTCGTTAATTTGGCTGGCAGGGGTGGCCAACAGTCACCCCAGTGAGGGGATGGCTATCCCACCACTGCCTGTTCCTCATCCGTATAACTGCAGCATCCCCGTGCACCGGGATGGATGCTGGCCTTTGCTGACCTCCTGTGTCACATCAGCCGGGTGCAGCATCCTTAAATCCTGCAGGTTACAAGCGAGTCGCTTCCGTTCTGTTGTCAAGTCGATGGAAAAGTGCCTCCTGCCTGGCGCGTGGGTCTGCAACCGCACTAATGAGGGCAATGAGATCTGCTTAACGGAGCTGCATGCTGGTTTTCGGATCGCGCTGTTTTACCTGTGTGTGTTAGCATGAATGAGGTTGGCCCTCTTTGGTGGCTGTCAGTCTCCCAGACAGAACAACTGCAGCTGAAGTTGTTTCCCTTCCTGTAGTAAAACAATGAGGGTGTTTTTCCTCTTGTGGTAAAGTACAGGGGGCTCCCCCAAAATCGCTCAGCCTGAGCAGAGGATTTCACTCCCTGACCCCATTGCATGAGTGGGGGGTGCAGGAGTGTAGTGCAGACAAAGTTCCTGAGGTTTACTTTCTTATTGTATAAGCAACCAGTGCCCAAAAAGACAAAACCCTCCGTTGGTGCTCAGTTCCCATCCCCGTCCTGCCCCTCCCATGGTCACACCAGGGACTTGACAACCCCTTCGGATCAATTCTAATACCAAACAGGGAATATGACTGCTCTGCTAAGAGCTGCATCAATTTAAACCGCCGTCTCTCACCACTTACAACACCTCTTATTTCCATTTTTCACCTAAAGAGAAAGACCTGTTTGTTCTTGAAAACTTGGGCACTTTGACCTCAGCAACATCCTGATCTTTCAAGTAATAGGATACGAGGTGAAAGCCTGGGAGCCCAGATTTGTCTGCACTAACACTTCTCCAAAGAACTGTTCTGTATTTGACTTGCAGATTGGCAGCCTCTTAATTCCCCCAATAACTGCAAAGAATCCTGTAGCTTTTTTTACGTATATCTTCCTTTAACACTCGCCATTTACTAACTCTGGTTTGAAAAGAAAGAAGGGAAAACCCAAAGCTTGTTTTTGGGGGAATGAGAAGATGATGGTCTTGGAAAGGTAACCCTAGGGTGCAGCACACCGAGTCCCTGGTGACCAGAACAGCTCCTGGAGATACCTATTCATGCTGGCAACACAGTCCTTTCAATTCCTGTGATAATTTCTTGGCAAAATTAATAATCAGCTGTTCCCATGTACCGAGCACTGATGAACTTAACAATTGTGCAATTTTAGGGCCCTTTGATTGCAACGGCTTTTACAAATGGATACCATTGAAACGTTACACATGGTTGGTTGCCATCTCACTTGGAGGTATTACAGTATATACCATTTGTACTTTGTGCTAAACTACCATCTCCCCTATTATTTACTTTAAGTGAACAGTTTTTTCTATCTCCATTTTGTCTTTCCTTGGCCTTTAATCATTCCTTTCTGTGATTTGTGTTACTCAGATCGATCTCACGGGTTGGAAACTGGAAGGCAGATTGGGAGCTAAACCCCCCAGAAGTCACGTTTTCATAGCTGTGGCACTTAGTGCAGTAATTCGGAGAGTCAAAAGCTCCACACAACACAGATTGATCCCCAAATCCAGTGGGAAAACACCCAAGTGCCAGCTGACAGCATCCTGATTGGGGTTGCAGATCTGCTACCAATACACTGCTCTAAAAACAGACCAGCCCTCGTGCTTTATTACAGAGCACCCATCATTCTTAATTAAGTGCCGTACCCAACATTAGCGCTAAAAGATAACATTGGAACTAGTAACCATGGAGCGATTATCAAGATGAAACCAAAAATGAAACCTAAGCAAATGAAATTAAAGCCATTACCTGTGTAATGCCCCCTTGGAGCGCCGCCAGTTTCCTCCCCTTTGAACTAAGCTCGAGTTAATTAAATGTTTCATTATTATTATTTTATTTTCCTGGCCTTTGGCATGTTCATCCTTGCAAATAAATATTCTTACCCCGGGAGTAAGAGATGAGGAAAGTCCCTCGGTAAAGGCGGAAGTTACACCCGTGAAACGGCACAGGTTTCCCTCTAGAGCTCTTAGTCCATACAGATAAACGTGATGGATGTGAGAGCTTTCATTGCTCTGCCTTTTACCCAGCACGTCCTGATCGGTGTCCCATGTTTTGCATTCAAAATCAGTGCATGGAATTAGAATTACAGTTAGTCAAGGGGCAGGGAGCTGTGGAAAACGTTGGAGGCTTTAAATTGCATAGGAATAGATTTATGTCTAAATTCTGGTGGATAAAGGGGGTTTCTATTTTCTCTTCACCCACTCTCACACGCCCCAGATTACCTGAAATTGTGCCATCAATTGATTTGCTCCACCAGGTAGTATTTTTTATGGGAAAGAAGAAAGTGGCTCGAACGCTTTTGCTTTGATCCCTGTTATTATTTGCACATATCAGTGTGTGTTCAGGGATCAATTTGTTAGAACCCTTCACATTTCCCGGGCTGTCAGGTGTTGTTATACCACAGTGGTACACCCCACCAGTGGGAGACCTCAGCACAACAGCCTAACGCACGCTAACAACGCTGCAATAAAGGCAGTGTTCATCGTACTAATGTATTGTAATCATTTTACACTTACCACAACACATCAAACTGTAACCATCATTTACTGGCCAGTATTAAGATCCAAACCATTAATGACTTAAAGCCAGAAAGTGCTTTTAATGGTGCTCATTACTAATTAAAATAAATTTTTGCGAGGAGGAAATGAGCCTTATTATTAATTCTTCAAGGACCACTGAGTTTGAAATCTTTATTGTGGCGGAGCATCCCGAGGCGTCTGGTCCCTTGGCTGCCCCGGGACAGGATGCGGCTGTAGAGGATGGATTTGGCTGAGCTGTGGGTCCCCTGGGGCAAGATGTGGCTATTCCCATAGACCTGTGGGTGCTGGTGGCACCTCACCCTGGGCAGACACCTGGGGGTGGTTTTGGAGGTCATCCCCAAAAGTGAGTGACCAGGGTACCAAAAATGAGTGACTGGTCCTGGCCATAGCCAGCCCTGCAAGGGCTGCTGCAGAACCGGTCCCTCAGTATTTCCATCCCAACATTAAGCACTATAGGAACAGAGCTTTAGAACCTGAAGCTTCTGTTGCAAGAGGAATCATCGGCACTGCAGTGTGCCCATGTAAAAGTTGTTACTTTCCAAGTACTTTGGCTGTGCCTTTAGAAAAACCTCATTTTAGCCAAGCTGTGTGAATTCCTGCCTGTAACAGATGCCCAAGGAACAGGCTTTGTCCTTCAGATATATCAGGCTGCATTTCATTGTTCCTAAAGCAGACTAGCACGCAGCTAACCCCATCCTGCCTGGAGTCCAGGCTGCTCTCCTCAGGGACTGGAAAGTAAGACTAGTCAATACACTAAACACATTCCCAGAGCTGGGAATGCTGCTGCATTTCAGCCCTGTCGCTCTAATTCACCCTTAGTGTGGATCAGAGCATGCTGCAGCTTTGCAGAGCATCTAGAAGCAGTCGGGGGGGTTAAAAATCCTACTTGACCTCGATTAACTCCATGTCCTGTGTCTCCCTTCTCCTGCCTGCAGAGTCTCTCTGGATGTCCGGGCAAGACGGGGCGAAGTTTCTGACGGGGCCCACGTTGGGGTGATCTCATCAGACTTTGAGCACATCATCATCACCGGTAACGCAAACTGGAGGTGGCACTCGACGGACTTAGGTCGTCTAAAAACAAATCTCTCTCATCATCTCATGAATCTGCTGTACTATAAAAACAACAGCTTTTAAAAGTATGTATATAAAATCCATTTCTTGGTCGTTTTATTTTCTTGATGGGTTCCCCCCCCCCTTTTTAAACCTCTCCAAACCACGTTTTTTTCATAGCCTTTTGACATAGTCTCGTAGCCACGTAGTTCTAATTCTTTGTGTATCTAGCAAGAGCCTAACCATAGTGTAACTGTTTATATTAAGAGGTTTCTTTCGTTCTTTCTTTCCCACCTCCCCTCCTTCTCCCTTCTGTTTTATGTAGTTGTTGTTGCTTAAAGGATGCTGAGATGGTGACAGGAGTCTCAGCCGCTGGTACCGGCTCCGCAGCCGGCGGCGGGCACGGTTACGGGGTGGCCTTGCAGGGCACGGGGGGGCACGGGTGAGCAGCAGGTTCTCTAGCCCTTCTTTTCATTTGTGGTGTCTTCTTTAACCTATAATTCTCTCTATTTTGGGCAATAAGGCAAGGACTACAAACTTTTTGTGCGTCCTTTTTTTCTATAAGTGCTTTTTTTTGTTGAAAGAGGTGATATAAGGTTTTTTGAAATCGTGAATTCTGAAAAAAAAAAAATGAAAAAAAAAAAGAAAAATACTGTAAATACAATTCCATTAACTACATAGAAACTATTACGAAAGAGAAATACAAACCTATTTTTGTGATGGAGTCAGCCTAAGGCAGTTTCTCTATGAAACAAATGGAAGAAAAGAGACAAGGTGTTAGAGGTTTGCCCGGCCGCCGGCGCTGGCCCGCGGGAGGTAGGTGATGCACACACTGCTCGGCTTGCTCCGTAGGCATGGTAGACCTTCCAGCTCTCCTAGCGTCATACCAGCATCTTCACTATCAGACGTGCACAGCTTACAAAGGAACAGTCTAGTGGTATTGGTTATTTTCATTTCAAAACCTGCTTTTTTTTTTTTTTTTCCCCAAGACTGGAAAAAGAAAAAAAAAAAGAAGCTACAATTTACTCTTTTTTGGTCCTATTTAATGCATTTACGGTTCAAAGCACACCTTTCATCCTGGGGGTTTTTTAAGTTGTTTTCAACTCGATCAACTTGCTGTCCAGTCATTTCAGCTGCTCTGGGTAGCCTGGGTGGAGGTGAGGTCCTTCCTCCTCCTCCTCCCTCACTGCTGCAGGCAGAGCAGCTTCCAAGCTTGCATGGTTACCTGTTTCATCCATTACTTTCTGTAGTAACAAATTACGAAAGCAACTTTCGGTTGTGGTTTTTTTGGGTTGTTTTTTTTTTGGGAATACCTCAGTGCTACAAGTTTCACCCTAGAAGCAACGGAAGATTTTTTTTCTTGTTGTTGTTTCCTTTTTTTTTTTTTAATTTATTGTAGTTATAAACAGAATTTAAAAAAAAAAAAAAAAAGAAAAATAAATAACTATAAAACATCATTGCACTGTGACTGGTAGGGGAAAAACTGACAGTTTCCTATTTGCACATGTTTAATATTTGGCTGTTATATATAATGGTCCTCTGTCGGGGGAGGAAACTTAATGAAGGATGTTTTTTAATTTAAGTTTTGTAATATGGGTCGCTAGGGCCTGCAAACAGCAAACCTAGAAGTACAGCCTGGTCGAGGTGGCATTACGGACATACTGTAGCGCGGATAGAGTTCTTCTTTTTTTAATGTACTCTGGACAAGGGTTTTCTTGCTATTTTTTTAACTTGTTACGTTTATAAACTTGGTACTTTAGGTACAGGCAGTACAAGACACTGAATGCGACATTTGTTAACAAGAGCTGCTGCACTCCTATTTTTGTAATCTTTACTAATGAGTAGACTTAACGTAGACGTTCACTAGACAAGGTAGAGCAAGGCATCTGTAACAAAAACAAGGCACCATACTGCGAACCGAGAGGAGAAATCCTTGGTTTTTCTTGTTTTTAAACAACAGAAAAAAAAAAAAAAAAGAAAAAAAAAAGAGTCATGCTTTTTATGTGATCTTTTAGGTTTTTTTTCTTATTTCCGAACAACCAGGTTTAAGCAAAATGCTGGACGCTTTTTAACTCTTGAGACTTGATCAAGTAATAAAAGAAATGAAACAATTCTTTAAAAAATAAAAATGCTAAAAAAAAAAAAGAAAATACAAAAAAAAAACCCACCAACCTACAAACCAAATTCCCTGGAATTCAATGTACCGTCAGGGAATTTTTTATTGCTATTTTGTCAATGTTGATGATGTACTGTACTACCAGTTGGTTTTCCTCTCCATTCCCTGTCACCTCATAGACTCTTCTTTGTTGATCATTGTTGTATGTTAATAGTGTATAAAATGCTATCTTGTAAGAGTGCTGTCCTGATGCTAGTGTAGTGAATTTCCCCCCCCCTTTCTCTCTTCTTCTTCTAGTACATATTGGTAGGTGTATCGTAATTAAGGTTATAAATTTAGATGTAGTTATTCAGATTTAGGACCAGTAAGGATAGAACTTTCTCTTATTTAAGGAAAAAAAAACTAATAATTTTGGGAAGGTTTTCCTTTCTTTTTTTCTTCCTTTTTTTCTTTGCTTTCTTTGATTTCCTTGGTTTCTTCTTTCTTTTGCTGATCTGATGCGGTTTCAACTAACCAAAGGTCTCACAATGTTAAAAAATGCTGGCAAACTCTTTAAGGCATTTGTAGATCCCCCCCTTGACGTTGAGAGGGGATGTGCCATACTACCTTAAATGCTAATGCTAGATATGCAAAACTGGATTTTTTTAGTTTATTTTTTAACAGAGGGAGGCACGGTATATTAAAAACGATTTTACTAAGAGAAAAACAAAAAATAAAACCATATTTTTTTAAGAATGCTCTGAAGAAATTGCTAATCTGTGTGAATATGTTTTAGATGTTTATATACCTTTTGAGAAGTCCCAGTGGCCCATAGCACAAATGTCGTGGAATCCGATATGTTTTGATGTGGCTACCTAGACTTAAGGTTCACGTTAGTTCCCCCCAGCTCATCTAGAGATCCATTTCGAAGGGGGTTTTGGTTTATTCTTTCTTTGTTTAGGGAGTTTGGATCAATTTTTTTGGCACAAAGGTGCAGTTTCACCTTTGTTTTAGTCAAGAGCAGCGAGTGAAGGCTCTGCCTGAGGGACGTTGCCCTTCTCGGTGTCCTGCTACCCTCAGAGTGACCAAAAAGAGCAGGAGTTCCATCTTAAGCTGGATGAAATGGGCACCCAGAGCACTGCAGGGGGGTCATCCCCTGCCCAGTGCTCCCGTGCCGTCGGATGGGCTGTATCCCAAACGCAAGGGACATTGAAGAGCAAGCCCAAGAGCTCGGGTACCCTCCCCTTCAAACTAAAGCAGTCCTTTGCCACGGGCTTGATTAAAATGAAGCCTGATCTGTCCTGTTTTAGTTTTTCTCTCCTCCATCATTGTTCATTCTAAGTTGAATTTGTAGCTTGGACTTTAAGGTAGCATGGCTCTCTTTGCTGTAAGTTGATTTCTTTTTCCATTGTACAGCAGTGAATGTTACACATCTTTGCTAGGCTAGTTCAACCATCGTTGTTGGTAATACCGACCTGAAAGGTGTTCACGTTTCTTTTCTTCCCCACTCGGAAGCCTAGGATGCAGTTTTCATCTGTAGTGTGAATGAGGGCTAGCGACTCCAGCCACAGTTACCTTCCTGTTTCATTTCTGCCATTCACTCAATGCAACATAATCAATAATAAAGCAATATAGTTTACTGCATTTTTACTGAAGGCCAGCCATGGTTATGTATGATATTGCATATGAAACTGTTTACAAAAACAAACACTAACTCATAGCTGTCTTTTATGCTATGGAAATGTCTCTTGGGTGGAATTTTCACTTTGTTTTAGTGGTTTGGGGTTGTTTTTTTCTCTTTTTTAAGTGAATTAGTTCAAAACAGAGAAGTGAAGTTAGTGTAAGGTGAAGAGACAGGATGCATCGAAGACACACCGGCAGATCCCAGTCTGCGCACAGACACTGTAGAGTTTCATACGTACAGAATCCGAGTCAAGCCCATTGCCGCGTGCGAGGCGATTCTGTAAGCTAAGCAATACTTTAATACTGTAATTTAAATTACCAAAAACGGCAAAATGCTCACACAAAAAGAGTAGTTTGAGAAAGCAAATCCTCGTGATCTCGGCTCCCAAACAGTCCGACCGTGTTGTCTCGAGAGCTCCGTGTCGGAGCAAGGGGCAGTCCCGGCTCCGTCCCTACCCGTAACACCGCGCGCGGGCTCGTGTGTCGCGTCGACCGTCGTAGGTAGCAACCCCCCCATCATCCCCTGTTGTACGAGGTCTGAACTCCATCAGTACTAGGATGCAAGTCTAAAGCATTTCAGGTGGTCATAAATGTACCTAAATAAACTATGGCACAGTGGCAGGCCTAGCCCTTCCTTTTATACTTTAGTATGAACTGATGAGAACTTTGGTAGTGACTTTTTTTTTATATATATACATATATATATGTATCTATATATATCAAGCATCTTTCAGGTCTCTGTGTATGGCTTTCTAAAGCCCTGTTGTAAAATACTATGTGGATGGGGGTCTCTCACATCACAGATGTGGAAAGTATAATTTTATATTTGTATTTTCAAATAAATAAGTTTGTGAAAGGTTTCCATCCTCTACTGTGGTCCAGAAATCAATGTGTTTGTCTGACAAAAAGTACAATAAACTGTTTTGAACAGATCCCTGGAGTCCCTTTCATTTTGGGGGTGAAGTTCCTGGGGGGATGCCGGTGCACAGCCCCATCATCCTGCCTGCTCACATAGGGCAGGGCTGGACCAGCACATCCCTGCCCTCAGCCCCTTTCCCAGTGCTCCAAGTCTAATCCCTCGTAGTGTGCACTGGGAGGCACTGTGTTGGCATCACATCCCTGCCCCAGGGAGCGTGTCCTTCCCTGAAGCAAGTCCAGATTAAGGGGGATGTGGACATGAGTGAAAATGTCACTGTTTTTAATGGGTTTCACTCAAAATCCCCTTCCTAACCCATGTCTGGGGGGCTCTCCAAGCCCTGAGAGAGCTTCATTCTATGGCTTAGACGTGTTTCTATCAAGGCATCTTGGTGTATCTGTTTATCAATCTTAATGTGCCCTACACAGGTACTTGAAGGGGAAAGATAAAAGCCCTGCCTGCTCTGTCCTTGCCTTCAGACCGTGCCTCAGAGGGGACACAGACCCGGGACACTCAGCTGAGGGCCCTGCTGAGAAAGGAGAGAATAAACCTCACACAGGAGAGGAGGGAAAACAGCCCCAACCTCCCATCCAGGGCTGAACTCCAGGCCTCTGTGACAAAAGGCAGCAGAGCTGGGATGTGAGCTCATCCTTGCTGCGGCAGCGCTCATCCCGCTTCCAGGAAGGGCAGCGGGTGGCAACGTGCTCCCAATCCAGCTGGATAAATTCCTTGGCCCCGTGCAAATGCTCATTGCTTATTTTTCCCATTAAGAGCACTGTGCATCCCTCTTCTCAGCTCGGCTGTCCCACCAGAGGATGGTTTACGTTGGTGTTTGGCGTGTAGCACCAAACCCCCTTCCTCCTATCTTCAGTACTCACCTTTTCCATCCAGGATGACAAGGTTCCCACAGGCAGGGATGTGGGTTTGGCCTGGGGTAGAGGGAACAGTCCAGCCCCACTCACACCTCCATGGGCATCACCTCCAAGTCCATCCCTTCCATAGGGTCTGGGGGGGAGATGTAGCAGCACCAGGGGCTCCATCGGGCTCTTGCCGGTGAAGGTCAGCGCGCAGCAGGACGCGGGACGGGCTCCTTCCTCCGTGGCCAGCAGGCAGCGCACAGAGCCTGTGATGGGGTTGCTGATGAGCGGAGCACCGAGGGGAAAAATGAGATTAGCAAAACCAAATGGAACCCGTTTCGGAAGCGGCGTTCATCGCGGGTGGAAGGAGCCCGGCACCGCGAGGGCCGCAGGAAGCCGTTTGACTGCGAGCCAGAAGGCAGGGAGCGCGGGTCTGGAGTACATTAGTGTGGTGGGAGGCCGGGAATAGCAGCCACTTAACCCTGTCATTCAGCAAACATTAGTGAATTATGAGCGCGTTGTGGGCTGGGGTGTGTGCGCTGCGCAGGGCCCGCGCTGGTGGCACTGGAGCGGTAGCAGGGAAATTGCTGTGCCGGCTCCGGAATAAAATCCCCGTTTTGAGCTCGCCTCCAGCCCCTGCACCAAGCAGCAGCCAAAACCGGCTGTAAACCAAGCAGGAAGTTCCCTGCCCTGTCAAACCAGTGCCCCGCTAAAGCAAACAAGGGCTGTAAACGGGATTTACTGCTTTTCCCTCCCGTCATAAACATTTATGACCCAGCCGTAACGACGGCTTTCAGGAGGCAGCCGGGGCTCTTTGGGGTTTTGCCATAGAACCCACAGAAGCTGAGCCCCGGCCGTGGTACCACGGCACTGCGGTACCCACGGGGGGCTTTTGAGCCCCTGCATCCCCATCCTGTGCCCCGGAGCCCTCCAAACCCGCACCATGGGGCGCGGCTGTGTGACGGATAAAGCCCCACAGCGCAGCCTGTCCTGGGACCCGGCTTCATTGACCTGCACCAGCATCCTCCACCGTTGCAGCAGAGCTCTGTATCCCCCATCAGGCATCTTGAGCTGTAGTTCATTAGCAGAAACCAAGCCAGCACTTATTAATTACGAGCTTAAGCACTCCCTTTCATGGCTATTTACAAGGGCCGCCTCGTTATTAATAACGAATAATAAGAGGTTTTTAGAGCTCATTTGTTCCGCAGGGCATTGATCCCTGCAGTGGGCCCGAGCCCGGATACCACCCAAGAGCACTGAAACTCTGAGTCTAAAGACACCTCACACCCCAAACCCCACCCTTTACCCCATTCTGCGTTCGTGCTACAAGATGACATGAGCAAGTCCATCAGGCTCCACGTTCCAAGCGTGCCTGGCTGTGGGTCTCAGCTGGGCATGAGCTGATGGCTGCTCTGTGTATGGAGAGCTACTTGTCATTCACCTGCTGTTTGCTAAGGGCACCAATACCTTCATTCCCAAGCCAGTCGAAGCTATTTACCTCCATGGCCGTGGCTGTCATTAGCACTGGCTCCCATGGGCCAGGCTTGCATCCCTAGCTCCATCATTTCTCATCTGCAGGGTGAACAAAGACAATTCAAACATCTTTATGGTGTGGGTGGAAGAGCCCGGTCCCCAGAACCACTCCATCCCAGTGAGATGGGTCCCCAGCACCCAGCCTGACCTCACAGACACTGATACCTAAGCCATGATGGGGCTGGCCATGCTCAGGAACTTCCCTGCTGATTAACACCAGGTTAAAGAGGCAGTGGAGACTGAAACGTGCATTAACCGAGAGACCCCATCTCGAGCCAGCCATGGAGGGATGACAGTGAACACAAAATCACCACTTGCAGCGTCTCCAACACTAATCCTACAGCCTGACCCTCCGCAGGAGTTACAGTGATGCTGTTGGATGGAGTTTAAATGAATCTGGGGGTTGCACCGCATCCTCAGCGCTGCATGGGATGCACCTGTGGTGCTGGTGAGCCCTGTGCCCAGGATCCCTCCTCCCATCCCACCCCTGTCCCATGGAATGCAATGACAATCCAATTGTGGACTTCAACAGGAATAACAGCCTCGTCCCCAGCTCCAGGCTGCCACAAAATGAGGGTGGCATTAGCCAGGGATACAGGAGGACAAGCAAAGGTGGGAAGGGCTCTGGTGCCTGCCTCTCAGTGGGAAAATAGATGTAATTGCTGCTCTTTCTTACCCTGTCATTGAAGGGGCTGTTCTGTGTGGTTTGGCAAATGGGGCAGAACAAGATTCCTTTCCTTAGCAAACCCC